CAAATTTAACCTACCCTAGTCAGAGGTCCACCCCACCCCCTAATGTACAGCAGAGTGATACCATAGAACAGTAACACTGGTGATACCCACTTACCCTTTTTTTTTTTTAAATGGCCCAACGCTGAAATATCCAGCAGGGCCTTAAATCTATTTAATGACTACTAATGAATATGACACGTAAACGAGATTTTCTAAATTTTCCGTTTTCAAACGCATTTTTTCACGGTTTTTCGAATTGTACAATAATATTTGAATTTGAAAATACATAATTTTGGGATAAAAATTGAAATGAAATGGGAGTTTTTATATTTCTAAGTTGGTACATCTGCATTTTAGTTCGGCCCCGATTGATGCGTTTATTCCATGAGATTAATAAACTAACCACAGAAGAGATGAAATATATATTCAAATATTCTGTGGCCCAACTGTCCGATGCCCAAGTTCGGATCACTCWTTATTAAGAATTTTGAGTTGGTAGCAACTAGCAATTAGCAATGCAATCCGAACGAGAACGAAATTGAAGGAATGAACGACTTTTTATTATTTCACGATTAGGATTGTTTTTTTCACAGGTTTGACCCGTTCAATTTGATCCGTTCGTTCGCGTCTCGCGAACGATACATCTCTACTATGAACAGTATTAAGTTGTCGGCTCAAAATCATTGGTCGAATGGTAAGTTTAATTAAACAATTTTCTTTTTCAGCAAGGTTGTTATAAATCATTACATTGGTACAAAATATTTCATTTCCAAGTTGCTTTTATTCTTAGATAGATAAAATATCTACTTTTGCATTAYGTGCATCATAACATTCCTGTTTTTTTTTCAGACGACTCAAAATTTGGTCAGCGGATGCTTGAAAAATTTGGTTGGTCTAAAGGATCTGGTCTTGGAAAAAATAAACAAGGAATATCAGAAAATATAAGAGTTGTACATAAGGTGAAACCTACAGGTAGTTAATTAAAAATTGTATTTTAAACTTATCTTTCTTGTAGAAATTTAGTAGTCTAGTCTCAATTTGATTTGGTTATTAAAAATGTATTCATTTAACATATTTATCTAAGCTCATAACTTGGTTTTATTTGAAGGTGTAGAACTTTCTACACTTAATATTAAATAACATAGGTATTACAATTAAAACAAATACCTAAAACTAAATAAAGTAAACTAATTTTCAAGTTAAGTCCAATTTATTAATAAAAATATTTTTCCTTTTTCAAGGCTTATA